GGACCATCAGACTAGCTTGGTGCAGGGGGGAATCTGGCTAGAGTAGAAATGTGGCAGTGGGAACATGGTTAGTTAAGTTGTCAAACCATTCTCAAACAGTTTGACTAGTTAACCTGGGGGAGCTGTACTCCAGCTGTAGTTGTCACTCAACTCAACTGATGCTTTAGTCAGCAGTAAAGATACCATTATTTGTACACACTGCACACAATTTTATCTGATAGTGACTAATTACAGTATTCCAGCTTCCTTAAATCCTTGTTATATTTATTTTAAAGGGCTGTGTCACTTAACATTAAAGGACCACTCTAGGCACCCAGACCACTTCAGCTTAATGAAGTGGTCTGGGTGCCAGGTCCTTCTAGGGTTAACCCATTTTTTCATAATTATAGCAGTTTCAGAGAAACTGCTATAATTATGAATGGGTTAAGCCTTCCCCCAAAGCCTCTAGTGGCTGTCTCATTGACAGCCACTGGAGGCGCTTGCGTGCTTCTCACTGTGAAAATCACAGTGAGAGCACGCCAGCGTCCATAGGAAAGCATTGTAAATGCTTTCCTATGAGACCGCTGAATGCGCGCGCAGCTCTTGCCGCGCGTGCGCATTCAGCCGGCGGGGCGTAACGGAGGCGAGAGGAGGAGGAGAGCTCTCCGCCCAGCGCTGGAAAAAGGTAAGTTATTACCCCTTTCCCCTTTCCAGAGCCGGGCGGGAGGGGGTCCCTGAGGGTGGGGGCACCCTCAGGGCACTATAGTGCCAGGAAAACGAGTATGTTTTCCTGGCACTATAGTGGTCCTTTAATAAACAATGTTCACAATTGTAGTCAATAGTTACTGATACAAATAAATAAATAAATAAGGAAGTTTGATTACAATATATTTTTTTCTTTAATGGGCCTTAAAAAAACCACAGACTATATAAAGGGTATGTAAGTGTTCGCAGGTAACTCTATCCCCACAACGTTAGTGTCTTTGGTAAGACTGGTTTCTTTTTACTCAAACACTTTCAAAATAATTTACTATAGTGTAAATTGCCGGGACTCAAAGTGAATTCAGAGTGAATTTCCATATAGTCATTTGGCCAACACCATTTTAATATGTCAGAATTTGTGGCCTAAAATAAAATAAAAAGCACTGAATTTAATGAGAATTATTTACAATTCACATTTTACTGAATAACCCAGAGTGTCTGCATTTCATCATAGATGTTTATCATTCTGTTTATCTCCTAGGATCATATAGAAACTCTCATACAGATTGACCATGTCGCATTTTCTGGAATTTATTATTGTCCTCTCTGCTTTGACAACAGGTAAACATTTTCAATTATGGTTTTATTTTTTCAAGTATTAGGCATTTATTCTATTATTATTAAGGCTAATTATATTGTCATCTTTAATATTTGCACATTAATATGTTATCTTTATTTATCTTTATGTAACGACGGGGATCTGTGATATTTATATAAAGGAAGGTTTTGATAATTAAATAATTGAATTTGAATTGTGCAGCATTAGATTGCTCTCATATTTATACTTTCAGAAAAATTAACAATTAGAGGTGCTTGTTATAAAGCAAAAAACGTTGTGTTTCCATTGTATTGTCAGAGCAACAAACTGAATATTTGCAAAATCTGCTTAATGCCAAACCACTTGAGAACTTTGTAAAAGGACATTAGAAGGTCAGCAGGGAATGTTCTGAAGGGAATGTGAAGGCTAATTAAAATTTCATTTCAAATTTAGGCCAAAATGGCTGAAAACCAAATTGCCAAACTACATTTTCAAACTACTTATTTTGGGCTAAAATCTGAGATTCGCCTTGAATTCTTGGTGATTTACTACTATGGGTAATAATATAAAGACACACGGGGTTATTCACTCTACGGTGAGAATAGAAAGTGAATTTCCAATGTAAGGTTAAACGAGCCGATCTGGAAACATTCTCTAAGCCCGCTGTGCTATCATTTTGGCTATGGTCTTAAATTTAGTAAAATCCACTGACAGTGTTTGTCTATTATCAAAGGGTGTCAATCCAAACAAGCAATTCAACATGCATTCTTGAATTAAAAATTATATATATATATTTATTAAATTTATATAATGTACATATGTATAATTAATAATGGGATCTAACATATATCTCTATATATTCTGCAGTTACTTCTGGTCTCAGCTGTGTGACGTGCACAGGATACGGCGATACAACCTGCAACGGGAAAAGTGTTACCTGCACAGCTGGTCATGTCTGTGCATCTGCTTATATAATGACTACAGGTATGCCGTATGTGTCAGTAGATATGATTGATTCATTCATGCTTAATGTGTTAAATGGAACTGTTACCATGGAAACATTTAAATAAGTATTAGAGTGTATAAACCTGTTTATTAAGTTGTTATGGTGGAGCTTTTCGTGATTTTTTTCTAATGTGATACTACTTTATATATATTTTTATATGTATATATTAATATATAAAGTAGTATCACATTAGAAAAATATATACCTTATAAATATATACATATATATACCTTCTTAAAATGCCAATCTCAAAAAGTGCAATCTCAACCTTAAAGTTTTTGTGCAAACATTTTTTTAAAAAGTCCCAATCCTGTAAGGTGCTATTCTAGTACTCAAACATTTAGAAAAATTATGTTTTTCTTCCTTTTTTATTTTCCTTCCTTTCTTAAAAAAACACAAAAACATTAGTGTATGTTTATATCACTGCACACATTATTTTAATTACTATAAAACTAAATTCATTCAAAAAATAAACTGGAATTAGAATTTCTTTTATTTTGTGCAATTTACAGTGCTTATAGTGAAAAATTTAAAATAAAGTGATATCCCTTTAAACTTTTAAAGCTTTGTTTTTTGCTCTCTGTTATACCCTCAGTATTGTTGGAAGCACTCTTTTATGCAGGGATGAGGGATAAAATCTCAAAAACAAAACATAGAAAACCAGAATAGCACAGACACATTTAAATATGGAGAGATTCACTAAATCGTTTAAATGCTAACTCACAAAGGAGGAGTCAAGAATGGGGTTCTTTTGTAGGGGCAACCCTTTCCCTTCCTTAGAATTGGGATTGTTTTACGTAAGAAAATAAGTTCACAGATAGTGCAATATGCTAGAACACAGATATCAAATATTTTAAGCAATATACCCTACTCACATTTGGAGGAGCCTTTTTCTGTAGGCTCTATTTGCTGAACCAGCATCTCATTTAGTGGCGACGCTAACCCTTGCAATCACCAGAGAAATCCTTAGTATCGTAGATGTTTCCACCTTTATTCAGGTAACATGTATCAAAAGCCAATAAATAATAACTTTAGTTTGGGGAAAAAATAGATAAAACAATATTAAAAATTATATGTTGAAAAGTATGAATATCAGAGCGGGGACTTGTTTCACCGTTGGGGCTTCCTCAAACAGTACTGGAATTGCACAGTATAAGATTGGCAGTTTTTAGAAATATTTGCACAAAAACGTGAAGGTTGAGATTGCACTTTATAATATTGGCAGTTAAGAAGGTATTTATATAAATTAGTATCACATTCGAACAATTTGCTAAGCACTGAACCATAACAACTTACAGATTTTAGATTTTTTAAAGTTATTTAAAGGATATCTTGAGGATGTTAGAGGAGCTAATTAAAATCACTACCAAGTTTTTTTTTCAATGAGATGAAGTTATTACAACGCTTTGAGTAGTCCTTTAACAACCACTACACTAACCAATGAGAGGTGGAGATCTGTATTGCTAAATTTCAGCCAATATAGCTCAGTTGGGCAAAGTCTTCAACTCAACTATAGTCACAGTTTGGCTAATTTAAGCCTCAATTTAATTCCTGCTGATTCATGTATTGGCAGTTTTACTGGATATATCAAAGTGTGTATGATCCCCAAATTGGATTTAAGATTGTACAATATTTTAGTACAATAGGGAAGTATCCCATAGAATGATTGGATAGATCTAAGAACTGGTATTAGTAAAAAAAAAAATGTAAATGACGTAGACCTTTGGGCATTAATGGACTGCACTGACTGTACAATGAATCTCCTTTGCCAGACAAAGTCTTCCTAAGCCTCAGGGGTATATAAGGCTATGCCATTTGATATAAAAACACAAACGACCAAGGTCAGAGAACACAGTCAAAGCCCTATATAACATTTCTTTGCTGCTAGATGAGGAACTGCACAAAATTTCAGCCAATCTATCAACATATTTTCCAACAATAAAGAACATATTAGAAACCAAATCACCAAAAGCGGCAGATAATTTCGAGTCTACTCAGATCAGTGTGATTCATTCTATCTTGAAAAATTGTGTGATAGAACGCCTATCCTTTTGTTGCTGGTCTCCAATAGTTTTAAACTCTTACTAGTTTTTTTTTTTGTTTCAATCTTGAAGGTAACAATCTGCACTCTCAACTACTTCTTCTGATATTTTTGCTCTAGTGTTGCTCAAAACTATTACCAACATTGCTAAACTGGAAAGATACCCAACAATTCCCATTTTAGTGAATAACCCTGTTAGTGTCTCTCTAATTAAATGTCAGCACTATGGTGCACACTAGACACCTAAAGCACTAGGGCTTGCTAAAAAGCTTTATGTGTGAAGAGGATGTCTTCAATAGAAATTGACACTTTTATAATTGAACCTTGTTACACCCCCCTGTCTGTCAATCAGACAACCAGTCCTGTTACTTCCTGGTTTGTTCAACTCAGTGGAGCTAAACTCAAGAGGCAGCAATTATCCAGTGCACCTGTCTTGCAAAGACCTCTCATTGAGCTGTATTGGGAAGTCTGTGATTGGACAGCCAGAGAAAGCCTGGGCAGGTTTAGAAGGGAAGTGCTTGCAAAAACTGCAGACAAGAGATATACCTACAATGAAACAAATGCATAATTAAGAGTATACATATTTTCATTTGGGATATATCTTCTAAACAGTGATTTTTATTTGTTTTGCGTTTGGGCAATGGAGTGTTCCTTTAAGCAACTCTTGCTAAAAGCATCCTTTAGTAACTGATTGAATCTTGGTTATATAAATTAATCGCTGTGAAAATAATTATCCTTATGCAATATATTATTTAAAAAAAAGTTTAAAGATTAAGTATATTTGACTAATAATGATATCATAATATTTTGTCTTTAGGTGGAACAACTTCTATTAGATCATGTGAGCCAGAGAACAAGTGCAATTTAGCTGGAACAATGACATTATCTGGTACTAAAATGTATATGGCTACCCTCTGCTGCTCAACAGATAACTGTTCTCCACCTGAACCTACAGGTAAGAAATTACTTCCAAGTTGTATCTCTAGAAATCAAACAAATTAAATTTCTCTGCAATAACACACATCTGCAGAGGTCTCCAAAATATGTAGGATTGACAATATAGATGTTGCATCAGAAAGTAACTGGATCTGTTTGATGCCTGTCAAAATTGCACAGCTTTAGGCTAATGATGAAGAAGTAAATTATACATAAAAAGGAGCTATCGATGGCTGCAATTAGATTTCTATGAAGGCAGGTTGTGAAAACCCTTGAGTGACTGCAAAAAACCTGCAGTAAAACTTGATGGCAAGTGAGCACAGTAAGGGTGTACTAAATGCAGAAGATTTCCATGCCAGCACTCCAAGACATACACCACTACTGACCAAAAGCACTAGAAAAATCAGCTCCAATATGTTCGAAATCGTATAAATTATGCAACAGAAGCTTTGGGATTATGCTCTTCGGAGCAATGAAACAAAACTGGAACTTTTTGGCCCAATGGATCAGAGGTATGTCTGGAGAAAGAAGAAGAAGCATACACTGAAATGAACACTTTGCATACAGTTAAGCATGATGGTGGCTCGTTGATGCCCTGGGGCTGCTTTTCATTCTTTGGCACTGGAAACCTGCAGCATGTGGAAAGCAAGATGTATTCATTGAAGTATTAGGAAATCCTAAAAGAAAACATCATGCTGTCTGTGAGGAAGCTGAAGATTGGGTGTCATTGGACCCTCCAATAAGACCATGGTCCCAAGCATACCTTAAATTCCACCAAGGCTTGGTTGCAGAAGAAGTCTTGGTTCATTCTACAGTGGCCATCACAGGCACCTGACTAGAACCCCATAGAAAATCTCTGATGGGATTTGGAGAAGGAGGTTGCAGCACGCAAACCCCAGAACATTACTGAACTGGAGGTCAGCAGCAGGTCATAGCAGCAAAAGGGTGCTCTACTAAGTACTAATGATGCTTCCCATGAAGTGGGGGAATAATTTTGAGACTGGAGAAGTCATTATAAGTTTCATTTTTATACACAAACAAAAAATAACAATTATAAACACTAACACCTAAAAATAGTAGGGAAGAACATTTTTCTCATTGGATAGTGATGACAGCTTCCTCCAGATATATACCATGTGGATGCAAACAAAAGAGGATACAGCTGTAGATCTACAACATAAAAAGCAAATAATAGTGTAATACTGCTAAAAAAATATAAATGCGCTATGATGAGTTACACTCACAAGATAGATGAAAATATGTCACCAAGGGGTGGCTCCCCTGATGAAATGGGGGGCCAAATCCACTCCTCTTGCCTTCAGTGATGATGAGACTGGACCCAGGATCAAAGAATACAATTCTACTTTATTATAAAAAGTAAACATCAATAAAAAATAGTGCTATGCCAGGTCCTACGCGTTTCGTCCTATAAGGACTTCCTCAGGGACCTCTTGGTATTGAAAGCCACCCAACTAAAATAACAGCAGAAATAAAATAAAACAAGAATGCTTGTTTTGATTATTTCTTGATTTTATTGCTGCTGTTATTTTCAATACCAAGAGGTCCCTGAGGAAGTCCTTATAGGACGAAACGCGTGGGACCTGGCATAGCACTATTTTTTATTGATGTTTACTTTTTATAATAAAGCAAAATTGTATCCTTTTATCCTCAGTCCAGTCTCATCATCACTGAAGGCAAGAAGAGTGTATTTGGTCCCCCATTTTCATCAGGGGAGGCACCATAGGGGAATATATTTTCATCTATCTTGTGAGTGCTACTTATCACAGTGCATTTATATATTTTTTAACAGTGTTACACTATTACTTGCTTTTTATGTTGTTAATCTACAGTTGTATCCAAGTTTCATTTTTAGTTGAATTTGGGGAAGCCACTCGAAGCATTTGTTGTGTTAAGCTGTTTCAATTGCATTTGTTTGATTTGTTCATTGCAAATAGCTGGAAGTCTTTACATTTTGACAATAAACCTGATTTTCAATGGGGGTTGAATAAGTTTGATTACAACTATATAATATATATTTTACACTGTTGGGGTGCTTTTCTCAGCATCGCTGACTGCTCATTGGTGCAGCAATGGGGTAATTATTCAGTTACACCCTACCACCATCGTTTCTTCCTTAAAGTATTACAGGACATGGGTCCTGGGGTATAAAGATATATCATAGAAACCCCAGTCTGTTACTGGAGCTTGGAATTTAGTCACTGCTTTCCACCTCCCTCCTCACTATTGTCTCAGGAATGGAGGGAGAGAAAGAGAGAGTGTGTGAGTTTGTGTGACTACTTACTTGTGTGTGTGTGTGTGTCTATTTTTGCATTTCTGCATATTTGTGTGTTTTGTTTGACTATTTGTAATTGTAAGGTGCTGGTCCATGCCACTGTCCTCTCCCGCCTTGACTACTGCAATCCACTTCTCAGTGGTCTCACATGTTTCCAACTTGCCCCATTGAAGTCTATAATGAATGCGGCGGCGAGGCTCATCTTCATCTCCGCCAGCCTCTCCCATGCCTCACCCCTCTGTCACTTCCTGCATTGGCTTCCTGTAAGATATAGGGCTCAATATAAAATTCTGGTTCTTGCTTTCAAATCTCTACATAATGCTACGCCCTCCTATCTATCCTCCCTATTACACAAGTATGTCCCGTCTAGGTCCCTACGCTCTGCCGAAGACCTGCGTCTATCCTCTGTTCATACTCCCACCTCTGATGCTCGCATTCAAGACTTCTCTAGGGCTGCACTGTTCCTATGGAACTCCCTTCCCTTTTCTGTTAGACGCTCACCCAGTCTCCACTCCTTCAAAAAATCATCAAAAACTCACTTTTTCACAAAAGCATATCAATTAAACTGTTAATGGCTCCAAAAAACTCATACTAAGTCTTCATTAAATTAAAACTATTCTACCAGTCTACTAGAACTTCCCTTACCTTTTGTGTCACTTTACCCCACTCCCTCTAGCATGTAAGCTCATTGAGCAGGGCCCTCAAACCCTCTGTTCCTGTGTGTCCAACTTGTCTGGTTACAACTACATGTTTGTTAGTCCACCCATTGTAAAGTGCTGCGGAATTTGTTGGCACGATGTAAATAATAACATAATAATAATAATAATCTCCAAACAATATGTCCAGTGTATGTATGTATGTGTGTGCATTTGGCAATTTGTTTATGTATCGAAATGTCTAACTTACCACTGCTGCATTTAATCTTCTTACCTAATAGTGCCAAATGTTCAAGCTGCAGTGAATGGACTGGAATGCCCCAGCTATCTCTCATCTTCTACTGGTTCAAACACTGTACAATGTGTTGGGAAGGAGACTAAGTGTGTTTACCAGACTACGATAATAGTACAAGGTAATATTGTTGACCATACACTGTTTTATTCAGGATCATTATTCTGCATAAATATTATTTTACAGCATATAATTTTTTTTTTAACAATTAATTTCACAATTGTTTGCAGAATAGAGAGTGGAGTTTCATTCTTATAATTTATAGGGATTACGATTAGACTGCTGGAAAATATACAAAGATCACAATAATAAATGTTAATTATAATTATAAAATGTTTATATTTAATGTAGAATGTATATCTTTTTTTTCATAGGGAATATGACCAGTAGCAGTTCTATTTTTGGCTGTGGAACCAGTAGTCTATGTGAAATTGACTCCTATTCTGCTAATGGACAAGATGAGACCGTTGATGTGACTTTCAAGTGTTACAGTGCTGGTTCAGGCCTCTATTATGGAATTTCCTTCCTCTTAACTGCTTTACTTTTGCTGTTGAAAAGTATATTTTAAAGAATGCAAAAAATCACATAAAATACAAAACTTCATAAATAAAATGTTGTTACAGATATATACATGAGCATTATCTGGAAGGGGTAAAAAGGGCCCTTGACCCATATTTGTATCAAGCACCTACTAACATTGAATCTGGCGTGTTTCTCATCCATTCTGTGCATATCTGTGTCCATGAGTGGTGGGTGCACCAGACCTTGGAAAATGTCCTGAAATTAGGGGGTAAAACTATAATAGGACAAAAAATGAGGGTTACTTCATTGCTTTGCTATTGTTCTACACCCCAATACATGGCAGTACAAAATTAAAAATAGAGAATAACTTATAGGCATGATTTATCAAAATGTTTTGTTTTAAAAAGTGGATTTAAGTTCTAATAGTGGGCATAATGGAAACCAATGGACCTGCATTCCTACTGCTGACTCCACATTTCTCATATTGTCCCATTTTTAAGAACAGAACACTGTGAGAAATATAAACAATTGTCTCAAGATGTTCAAATTATTGTAAAAAACACAGGAAATGATTCATGTGATGGTGCATGGTCAAGCAAAAGCAAGAAGATGCACACACACAATCAAGTATGGACACATGGTAGTGCTTTTTATAGCTGGGGGCCTAATTCTGGTTCTCTGTGGGTTGTATTCAGGTGTATTTGTTTGACAGCCCAGGTCTATAGCCTTTTTGGAACAACTAAACCCTGCTGGTATAGCTCTTCAACTTGTTTGAATTTTGTATTTAACATTATATATAGAGAGAAAGAGAAAGAGCTTGTTTATCCTTTTAACTTTTGTGTTCTCTTGTGGTTATTTTGTTAGTCTAATAGTCTAATATCTACAATAAAAATATGTTTCCTGTCTTACATGTTATATTGTCATAATTTGCCATGTTCTTGTTTCGGCACACATCATAATTATCTGCTACCAAACCTACCTAATAATATAAAGCCACCCAGTATAACTGGAACCAGATTACACCATTTGAAGAAGTGAGTGAACATAGTAATTTTATGTATCTCCATTATGTCTTAGATGTTTATTCCACATTTTAAGCTCTTTTAATTAAAGTATTATATGAAATTAGGTTTTACCTCTCCAAATAAAAACCATAAATTGTTTCTTAAACTGAGAGAGTAGGTACAGTGGGACTCTGAGGGGTATTGAATGAGACAGATATGTCAGTTTAAGTAAAATAAATGCAGAAATTGTATTCAACCAACCTAGCCATGATAATTCAAGGTCTTTCCATTTCTGGAAATATTCTTTAAATTATGTTAATGCAATCTTGTAATTATCCTCCACTAATCAGTTGATATATGCTCTTATTCAAATACCTAGGTATTATATTATCTTGTTATTCCAGTTCCAATCATACCTTTCTCTCTCAGCTCCTCCAAACAATCCAAAGTTATATTAACTGCTAAAGTTTGAGATTTATTCATATTAATTTCATAGCCAGAATTAATTGATCAATTATAAGACATGGGAGATGGACTCTAATGAGTTAGTCATAGTGAGACAAATATCATCTGCATATAAAGTGATTTTCTGATATACTGAAGAGATACTTAAACTGCAGATCAAATCGTTCTGTCTAACTGTAGCATCCAGGGGTTCAGTGGTTTCAAATTGCAAAAATGGTGCCAGCGGGCAGCCCTGTCTAGTGCCATTCTTAATATCAAACCAGTCAGATATCATGCCAGGGCCGATACTTCTAGTTTATGGTGTTGTTTAACCCCTTCCCGACCGTGAACGTATCAGATACATCCGACAAAAAATGGTCCTTAAGGAAGGCGGACGTACCTGATATGTCTGTAGCTAATTAGAGCGATCATGATCGCTTCCATACGCTCTAACGGTATTGCAGCGATGCCTTGATGTTGAGGCATTGTGCAATACCCCCTCTCAATGTGCCCGGAGCGATCACTTACAGGTTGCCCCACATGGTGCCCGGCAGTGAGGCAGAGCATCGGAAGCCATCAGGCAGGCTTCCAATGCTCTGCCTGTGCTGAGTGCCTCAATCCGAATAAATAATAAAATGAAATTTAAAAACAATTATTTAAAAAAGTTAACTCCTTCCTTTCCCTCTCCCATGCCGTTCGACAGTTTAAGATGGCCGCTGCCACGTGTTCGTTTATACGAACGATGACCACCAGCCAATTGGTCAATTAAGCTGCGGTTAACCACAGTTTCTGGGAAGTCAACGAGTGGCACACTCCACATGCAGGGTGGTCGGTCGTTTGGCGATTTGTTCGGTTATTTGAATAGAATTATAATGGTTGTAAGAGAAGTGAAATTTACTGAACCAATTAAAGAATATATCAGGAAAAATATAAAATCCATGCAATTAAGGAGAAATATGAAATCCAGGGACAGAGGGTTCTGTCACATTGCTCCCTCCTTGTGGGACACTACGGCAGACCCGGTTTTACCTTTTTCAGGTCAACTTGGGGATTTCCAGACTCAGTAGTTGGGGTGAGTTCGGTCTCTCGAGACAACCAGTTGGCATTGCCGCTCTGCTTAACCGGTCGATAGTTAATGGTAAAGTTGTAGGGTTGCAGGGCTAGGCTCCACCATCATAACCTGCCATTGTTCCATGCGACACAGTTAAGCCAGACCAACGGGGTTGTGGTCAGTGATAAGGGTGAATTCTTGTCCATACAAATAAGGGGTTAACTTTTTCAGCATCCAAACCAGTGCTAAGCATTCTTTTTCCACTGCCGCATAACTCACTTCTGTTGAGGTATGCGACAGGGTGTTCTCCTCTGTCTTCTCCAACTTGACTCAATACCGCCCCCAGTCCAAACTGCCATGGTGTACAATAAAACGCATTAATTAGCGCATGCTTTAGGGACTGAAAAGAGGCTTCACAGGCTGGAGACCACAGGACCTGCCTAGGTAAATTCTTCTTTGTCAGGTCAGTCAGGGGCTTAGAGATTGTGCTGTAGTCAGGAACAAAGCATCGATAGTACCCTGCCGTCCCTAGCAAGACCAATACCTGGGTCTTGGAACGGGGTTTGGGCCAGTTGCCAATCGCATCAACTTTGGCTGGCTCTGATCTTTGCTTTCCACACCCTACCCGGTGTCCCAAGTATTGTACTTCGGCCATACCAAGATGGCACTTGTCTGGTTTCAGAGTCAATGTCATCCAGGTATGCACAAGAAAAATCCTGGAAGCCATCGAGGAGTCTATCCACCATACGTTGAAATGTAGCCGGGGCATTTTTCATCCCGAATGGCATGACTCTGAATTGGCATAGGCCAAACGGGGTGACAAATGCCGACGTGGGGATAGCTTCCTCAGCCAGGGGGATCTGCCAATAACCTTTACAGAGTTCTATGGTGGTTACATAACATCCCCTGGTTATGCAATCTAGCAGTTTGTCTACCCGGGGCATCGGGTAGGCGTCAGTGGTAGTCTTGTCATTAAGTCACCTGTAGTCCATGCAAACTCTGGTGGTCCCGTCCTTCTTGGGTACAAGGACTACAGGCGGAGGGTTCTATCTCCCTTAAGTGAAGCATCTCCTATATCTCCTTTCTCATTCCTTCCCGGACTGCTTCAGGGATACGATAAGGAGATTGTCTAAATGGGCCCTGCCTGGGGGTTTTTACTTTGTGCAGTGCTAGTGTGGTGTACCCTGGTTCCTGAGAGAACGTTAAGTGCTTTTCTACTAGTAATTGTTTAGCTTGTTTCATCTCTAACGAGGTCAAGCGTTCTCCCAACTTCACTAAGCTAGTGAGGTTCATTTGGGGCTCTCGCTCTAGGAGGTCGGGCAGGGGAAGACTGTCGGGGTCGTCTGTAGCAGGGGCACATACGGCAGCTATCTCTTCCTGCCTTTCCTGGTACTCCTTCAGCATGTTTACATGAAAGGACCGTCAGATCCGTTCATCTGCACAGCTGGCAACTATATATGTAGTGTCACAGAGCTGCTCTATCACCTTATAAGGGCCCTGCCAAGCTGCCTGGAGTTTGTCTGACTTCACAGGTTTAAGTACCATGACTTTTTGTCCTACCTGGAAAGTGCGCTGTCGAGCACCCCGATCATACCAGACCTTCAGTCTGCCCTGGGCCGCCTGGAGATTCTCCCTTACCATCAAAGACAATTTCTCCATGCGGTCCCAGAGTTCTAAGACATATGGCTCAATGGGGGTTCCCTCATGTCCTGTCTCTCCCTCCCAGTGCTCCCTGATGAGATCAAGGGGACCTCGTACCCTTCTCCTATGCAGCAACTCAAATGGGGAGAACCCTGTGGATTCCTGCGGCACCTCTCGGTACGTGAATAGCAGTTTCTGCAAGCGTCAGTAAATGTTCGTAGCATTTGCTTAAATGACCCCTATAGTGCCAGGAAAACAAAACTGTTTTCCTGGCACTATAGTGTTAATAGGTCCCCCCCACCCTCATGACCCCCCCTCCCGCCAGGCTCTAGGGGGAGGAAGGGGTTAAACGCTTACTTTTCTCCAGCGTCGGGCTCCCTCGGCGCTGGAGACTCTCCTCACTCTTCCGCCGAATGCGCATGCGTGGCAAGAGCCGCGCACGCATTCAGTCAGTCCATAGTCAGTCCATTCTCAATGCTTTCCTATGGACGCTGGCATCTTCTCACTGTGAAAATCACAGTGAGAAGCGCGGAAGTGCCTCTACCGGCTGTCAATGAGACAGCCACTAGAGGCTGGCTTAACCCTGATGTAAACATAGCAGTTTCTCTGAAACTGCTATGTTTACAGCAGGTAGGGTTAGCCCTAGATGGAAGCTGAAGTGAAGCGGAAGTGGTCTGCGTGCCTATAGTGGTCCTTTAAGGGTCCCATTAAAACGCTTGCAGAGACTGTTAGTCTGGGGGTGGTAGGGTGAGCTCAGTATAGGCTTAATGTTACACACTTTCCACAGCTGCTGGGTTAAAACAGACGTGAACTGGGTCCCTTGGTCCGAGAGGATTTCCTTGGGAAACCCCACTCGGGTAAATATTTTGACCAGGGCATCTGCCACGGTCTCTGAATGAATATTGG